GCATCCATCTGTCTGACCATCCGAGCAACCAGCCAGGACATATGACGCGCACTGGCAATTTAAAAATAAACATTGACAAGCGCATGCACGATGCATATAAAGCTCTTGCTGGCGCCAATCACATGCATGTGTTTCGATCTGCCATTGTTGATTGTGAATTTAATTGTTTTTGTTGACATTCAGAAGCTGAAAGAAAGCAGCGTCATCGACAGAATATGTCTGAAGACCAACTACTGGCACAACATAGCTCTGACACTTCATCTCTGACACTTCTATTATAGATAAAGAGAAAATAGCAATATTAAAATATTTCTTCTAGTTAATTTCCTTTCAAGGTGCACGAATCCATGCACCAGGCCACTAGTCTTACTATAACTATGGCCATCCTTCTTCTTATGACGATGTGAGATGACACCATGCCTACATGATTAGATGTAGTGAGGTGGAGACACTGGACAAAGGGATGATTCACGCCCCTCGTGGGATGGAGCTGGACAGAGCAAGATTTCACCATGTTATTCAGAACAGCACACAATTTAAAACTTACGATTATTTCTGGGATTTTCTATTTCATATTGTTGGACAACAGTTGACTGGGAATAGCTGAAACTACAGAAAGCAAAACCATAGATGGGATGGGGGGGAGGGGGGAGGACTATTGCAGCTAGAGGAACCATCAGGGCCAGGACTAGGGGTCCAGAAAACTCAGTAATCAATATAAATACTATTTGAATGCAATATTTTAAATTATCAAAATTAATGCAAAAAAATACATGGTAAACAAAATATCAGCATTTTAAAGAAAGACATCTGAGCCTGACTCGCCTCATTCACTTCACCTTAACCTCTGCTTTAATATCCCTAGCTTTTTGCCAACCCCTTAAATGTTGTGCCTGAGTCAAGCACTTTGCTTGCCGCTCCCTAGTCTGGCCCTGGTGGCTCTTATCCTTAAAATCCTTCATCCTCAACAGAAACACACAAACATGGAGTCACACACATTCATACACATGAAAAAAAAAATGCTCTTTGTTCCGCAGTGCGGGTCTTCACATTAGAAACAACACAATTTAAGATATAAAAATATTATTTCCCATTACATTATTTTCTGGATCTCTTTCTGTGTCAGTGGATGGAATCTTTTCAGGAACCGTGCTCTGCAGAAATGTTTTATGATGATCTAAAATAAAAATAAGCCGAGTTACTTTGGTACCTGATTTTACATTATCAGTTTCTAAAATCCAGTTCTCCATTTGTCTCTCTACATTACCAAAAAATTATTGTATAATCTATGCATCTACTTTCCCTTTCCACTATCTTTCTGGTCACTCTTACCTACAAATTTCTTAACCCTTGCCAAGATCTCAAGTTTTTATTTTATCTTTATTTGTCTCTACGCACACACACCCCTAGTTAGGCAGTTTGAGAATTTGACTAAGCAACACTGAGTAACAAATACAGTGTTGCTGTGTTGCAAAAGAAGTGTGGAAATGGGAGAACAGGTATATCGAAAAAGAGGGATCTTGCAGGGAGAAGACTGAATATTGAATACAAGGGTGACCCACAATCTTCAGTGGAGCAGGCTGAGGACAGCGGTCAATCAGAAAAAATCCTAGATTAAATACCTTCTTTATGGTGATGCAATCATTTCTACAACAGCAGAATTCTGAATGTGGAAAAGACCACATATTTCACAGAAAAGGAAACCATTCCAGAGAAGTGAAAGGTTTTCTGCCCAGAGGCTGGCTCTTTGCCTTTTTGGCTCAAGACCCTGATGCAAAAGGCAAGGAGAAAATGGGTGGGGCAAGAGGGGCCTGGGTAAGGTCTGGGCCTAGAAGCTGGACCCAAAATGTACAGGCCCCGCTAAGCAAACCGAGTCCCCTCCAAGGCTTGGGGTGGGGGGTGAACACGGGTCTGGACTTACTGAGGCCTGCCTGCAGACCAGCAAGTCCCATGAAAAGGACCAGAAGAGAGAGCATGGCTCCGTTCTCGAGGAGTCCCGCTGGCCGAATAACAGCAGTTGAGGCGTTGAGTCCAGTAAAGGAGCAGCTCGCGCAGAAGCAGGAGATGCGCGAAA